AGTAAGAAAGCAGAAGCTGCTCTGAAACAGCAGATGGAGATGCAGAAGAAACTCGCTCTGCAAACGCAGGAGCTCATCGATAACAAGAAGGACGACTGACGTCAGAAAACAGGTGAATAAACGCACGATTGACAGAACCTGAGCAGAGTAATGGCAGTGTGTTTAACCCTAAAAAGGGCAAAACCATAAAGAGACATCAGAAAATGTATTTATTGCAAATAATAAAATTTCATGATTTGTTTTCTAAACTTGACTCTTATATTGGATTTTAATGTTAGTATCCCCCAGGATACGTCTCCCCTTTGGGGGTATAAATTCACTGAAAACAACCCTTGTTTATCAATGCTTGTTGCAACATGGTTGTAATTCCTCAACGCTCTGGAATACAGACCTAAGGGTGGTCTCTTTTTTTTAAAGAAGACACATAGCAGATTATTGCTGAAGTGAAAGCATTTCAAAATAAGTATAAATAAAGTTTACGTTTACAGTAAAGATAATGTAGTATACTATTTTTATTTTATTGTATATAAAATGCATATTTTATAAAATAGGTTGCACTCTAAAATTTCTATGAAATCAAAGCCATATGTCTAACCAAGTTATGTTCCAAATTTAAAAGTTGATATCAAAACAGTTGTGGTTCCTGTGAGATTTTGTTTGGGCACTATACCAAAAATAACCACTGGGTTACGCCCAAACTCTTTTAAAATGTTTTTGCAAATGTTTCAGAAGTTTTCTGTCACAAATCAATCATTGTCTGTCACAATAACACTTCTATAACCAAATATGTGACCCTAGACCACAAAACCAGTCATATAAGGGTCAATTTTTCGAAACTGAGATTTATACATCATCTGAAAGCTGAATAAATAAGCTTTCCATTGATGTATGGTTTGTTATGATACAACTATTTGAAAATCTGGAATCTGAGGGTGCAAACAAATCAAAATATAGAGAAAATCATCTTTAAAGTTGTCCAAATGTTCTTAGCAATGCATATTACTAATCAAAAATTACGTTTTGATATATTTACGGTAGGACATTTACAAAATATCTTCATGGAACATGATCTTTACTTAATATCCTAATGATTTTTGGCATAAAAGAAAAATCTATAATTTTGACCCATACAATGTATTTTTGGCTATTGCTACAAATATACCCCAGCGACTTAACACTGCTTTTGTGCTCCAGGGTCACATATGGAACCTTGACTGTCAGACCTTTCCAGCAATATGTGTTTTATCAAGATTACAAAAATATTTGATTTTCTCTCTCTCTCTATATATATATATATATATATATATATATATATACACGAGTCTGTATATATGCTATTATGTCTTGATTCATTATACCCCTAAAAGGGCGACGGTATCTCCTGAGATACAAACATTTAGACACAGATTACAAAAAAAGTAAGCATTTAATAATTTTTAAACCGGTAAGTCCTCTCCAGCATGTATAAATATGTGAACTAGATCAACCAAAGCTTCCCCCAGGATACTTCGCCCCTTTCAGGGTTAATTCTGTGTTTGTTGCGGCAGTGCTGTCAGCGTGACGTGTGGATTCAGATGTTAAAGCAAAAGCCTCGGCAACATGGACTGCTGCACAAGTCTTGCTTTTTATACACCGTTTTTATTTATTATCTCAGAAGTTTGTAAATAAAAATGTTTTTATTCCTATATCCAATTATGCTGTGTGTTCATAACTTAAATAGTTCAGAATTGTGGTATTCATGAATCAGACTAAAACAAAACAGTAGTGTATAATAAACAGGGTATAAAAGACTTCATATGATTTTGATGTATGTACTGGCATTACATAGAGTTTTGTGCATGACCAGCAGGTGCCGCTGTACAGATCCTCTTGCTGAATGAAGCGACTGTGAGCTGCAGAAATGAAATATGAGCAGGACAAGGTTACATCGACCTGTTTATCAATACCTCATTGCTTTCTGGGAAAGAACCTGCTATAAATGACACTTAATGTAGATGAAACAGAGTTTAACATGCTTGAGCTTTGAAACCTGGATAACCAAAATCAGTTTATGAAATGTATATGAATTATATATATTATGAATTATTATATTTCATTAATTTATTAAATATTTTTAAATGTATAAATTATATATATATATATACACACAATATTTTTTTTTATATATACTTTTTTATTTTATATTAGTGCTGTCAAACGATTAATGGCATCCAAAATAAATGTTTTTGTTTACATAATATATGTATGTGTGCTGTGTATATTTATTATGTATATATAAATACACACATACATGCATGTATATATTTCAGAAAAATAGGTTATGTCTATATATTAAATATATCTATTTATAATAAATAAATAAATTATTTGAATATAAATATAGACATGTAAATATTATCTAAATATATACTGTATGTGTGTATTTATGTATACATAATAAATATACACAGAACACACACATACTGTATATAATGCAAACAAAAACATTTGTATGCGATTAATCGCACTATTTTATATATAACATTTATTAACTATTGTTAGTTAAAATAATCTCTATATGTATAGATTATATATAGTATTTTAATTAACCTATTAACATTTATAATAATATATAGAATACCTAAGTTAATAACTATAACGTATAATAATTGCATTTTTTGTACTGGCTCATGATGCAAAAATCTTTACGCGTTATACAATATTTTTCTTTGCTTTGGGGTGAAATAACAGATCAATTTTGCTCTTGAATTATAGAGTATTTCAGTTTTTACGAACACACAAGCACATTTAGAAGAAACTCAAGCATCATTGCCTGATGCATTTTGCTGTCCTGATGTAATTTGAAAGCAATTTTAATTATGAAGCAGATCATTCTTAAGCTGCTGATCCTGCATTGTCACGCAGAAAATGAGCAACAGCCAACGACTGAGTGATTCTGAATCTGATGTTCGTTTGCTTCATACCAACATCATGCTTAAAGAAATATGAATGCATAAAGGGGTCATATGATGCTTTTTTAAAGATCATTATTTTGTGTATTTGGTGTAACAGAATATGTTGACATGCTTTAATGTTCAAAAAACACATTATTTTTCAAATACTGTACATTATCTAGTTGGAATATTCAAAATCTAACAATCAACAACTGCACTGTGTTTTTAAAGTTTCTAAAGTCTTAGCTTTGTTTTGAGTCTTTACACCTTTGATAAATGATTAAAAATAAAATTAATTTTCATCTTCTGTTAGTCAAAGACTGGTTCAAACAACACGAATAAACACTAGATTCAGTTCTTTGGTCAAGATAGTTTTATTAAAGGTAGGTTAATGCTTCCTCCCTCTATATTTCGCTAACGAATAAGATTTTTGTTGTTGTTGTTGTTGTTGATAGAAATCCTCAAGTTTTTTTAAGATATTGGCTACATTCAAATACATCAAATATGCACAGTATGTTATAGATGCTTAAAATCACTGGTTGACAGCAGAACGTCTCCTACAGTAATGGAAAAGAGGACAACATCTCCAAAGACAGTAGAGCACAACAAGTCACAGAGCGCAACAGTGAACGTCTGCCAGAGAAATCACATTCATTTTCTCCATAATGATTGATTAGGGTTGTTAAGAGATCATATGTGCTTCTGTGGGTTTATTATTATTTTTTAAATCATTCAGTTTCATTCATCAGAAAAAGTCGCTGTTGATATGGAAATGGAAATCATAACAGACAGGTTAAAAGCGACTGCTCACTCCCATGATGCACTGCAAATGACTATTTTATTTTAGTTTGCCTACATCAACATTCCATATTTTATATAATGGGTTACGTGTAGTTTCTTTGTAACTGTAAAATTTACTAGCAATTTCTGAGTGGAAATTCTACACCAATTCTTTTTCAGTCAATATTTTTTATTTAATTTTATACATGCAGCCAATTATTTATAGTCAGTATTTTTTTTTGTTTATACATACAGCCAATTATGTAACTGTAAAATTATTTTGAGTACATTTCATAAGAAAAAAAACGTCTAAAATGACAATTAATTTTTTAATTAATTGTATTATTTTAATTAATTGTATTAATTTAATTAATTTAAAAAAATTGTTTTTCTTCTTAAAAAATTCATTTAATTTAGTGACTTGCTGTTTCTTTGTAATTGTTTGTGCAATTTACTAGCAATTTCTGAGTAAAAATAGTTTCTGAACCAAATTTGTTCAGTGTATAATCAATATGTTTTAATTTAATTTTCATTTTATTTTATTTATTCATACAGCCAACTATTTATATCACTTTAAATTTGTCTGTTTTCCTTTCAAAGTTGTAAATAAAACAGATGGTTGCGTACACTGTACAAGAAAATACAATTTTATTTTTTCAAAATTTTAATGTAACATTTAATGTGTCATTTTGAAATTTACTAGGAATTTCTGAGTGAAACTTTTCTGCAACATTTTTTTTTTCATAGTATTGTCAATACTTTTGTTCTATTTTTTACATGGAGCCAATTATGTATAGCCAACATTTTATTTTATAATACAAGTACACAATTTAGTACAAGTGTCTTTTTGATCCAATTTTCAAATACCTTTTTGTATGAAATCAAATGTGGTGATACATGGAGAAAATGAACGGGAAAACACTTGCGTCACCAAGGCGGGAAAAGTCGGTGTTCACAGCTGCGCTCGATATACAAAGACAAGTACTTCATGTTGTTGTCAGTTTAGCAGGTAACACTTTACAATAAGGTTCCCTTAGTTAATGTATTAACAAACAATGAACAATACATTTATTACAGTATTTATTAATCTTTGTTCATGTTAGTTAATGAAAATACAGTTGTTCATTGTTAGTTCATGTTAATTCACAGTGCATTAACTAATGTTTACAAGCACAACTTTTTATTTTAATAATGCATTAGTAAATGCTGTAGAAGTATTGTTCATTCTTAGTTCATGTTAACTAAAGTGATGAACCTTATTGTAAAGTGTTACCGTTTACCACATTATAAGGCTCTATTTTTAAAGTGCATAATACTTGGAGCTTGTGAAGAACTTCAGCAACAATAATAATGACTTTCAAAGACTGTACGAGTGACTAAACGTAGAGACGATACATGATAATGGCGATGAGTACATGTTAGTGGCCCCGAACGATACACACTTCAGACACAATGTTCAGTTTGTTTGTGCTACATGAAAACTCCTTCAGATTTTACCGCCGCTTTTCTCTCGGATTATTAAAATACACAGTTGTGACGTCAAGCAAATAATGACATTCGTAAGATGAGAGGAACTCTCCCAAGTCCTCAAAGTCCCTGACTCCATCAGAGATGGATGGTAAGAAATGAAACGCGAGATATGAGGATGGTCGACTCCCTCGCTAACTAGGAAGAGGATCTGATGCTCGCCGGCCTCCCCGGTGGCGAGGATGATGAACTGCATGACCGCATGCTTCCTAGTTATCCCAGTGTTGGTTGAGAAGATGAAACGGCCCAGAATTAGCCGCTCACTGGTTGACGGATGGGACGTAATCTGGGCGGCGGGTCTGGATGATCTTGGGTCGCGCACGTTTGCCGCCCTCTCCTGTCTCGTCTTCGCCGTCGGAGCTGTCATCCTCACAAACGTGTACGATCACACTGGGTGTGTTGGTGGTTCCAGTGTGGAGCTCGTATTGTTCTCCTAAAAATACATGAAAACATTGCAAACATCAATTATTCCACTAACTAATATTGTACTGATATAAATAACAGAATTAAAAAAAAAAAAAAAAATGTTTTTGAACGTTTCTGTTCACTGGGGCTGCATTTATTCGATTAAAAAATACAGTAAAAACTGTAATACTGTGAAATAATATTTACATTTAAAATAACTTTTCTATTTGAATATATTGTAAAATGTATTTTATTTCTGTGATGCGCAACTGTATTTTCAGCATCATTACTCCAGTCTTCAGTGTCACATGATCTTCAGAAATCATTCTAATATGTTGATTTGCTGCTCAAGAAACATTTCTGATTATTATCGATGTTGAAAACAGTTGTGCTGCCCAATATTTTTGTGGAAACTGTAATACATTTTTTTCAGGATTCTTTGGGGTAAATATGATTTAAACAAACAAGCAAAAAAAAAAAAAGATGTTTATAATGTTACAAAAGATTTCGATTTCAAATAAATGCTTTTCTTTTGAACATTCTATTCATCTGTGAATCCTGAAAAATAAAAATGCATCACAGTTTCCACAAAAGTATTGGGCAACTGTTTTCAACATTGATAATAATCAGAAATGTTTCTTGAGCAGCAAATCAGCATATTAGAATGATTTCTGAAGCATCGTGTGACACTGAAGACTGGAGTCATGATGCTGAAAATACAGCTTTGATCACAGAAATAAATTACATTGTAACAGATATTCACATAGAAGACAGCTGTTTTAAATTGCAATAATATTTCAAAATTTGTACTGTAATTTTGATCAATTAAACACAGCCTTGTTGAGCAGAAGAGGCTTCTTTCAATAACATCAAAAAAACATCCAAATTCTTTGTCAGTGTAAATGTCTTTACAGTCACTTTTGATCAATTGAATGCATCTTTGCTTAGTAAAAATATTCATGTCTTCAAAAAAATCTTGCTGACTGTATACACAGCATATGCTGTTGATATATATAGTGCAGCACTCAAAAAGGTTTTAGTCTCAAGGTATACCATGGAAATGAGGTAAATAGGTTATACCTGGTCCTAGTTTAGACACAGCACACAGCAGGTCATAGTTGATGATGGGCTTAGCGTCCTGCGACTGCGCCCAGCCTACAGGGGGCGACGCTGGAGGAGAGATGAGGAACTGCTTCTCTGGTTTAGGAGGCTCAAGACGAGGACTGCCGATATGTACTGACTGTACGGGAGAAGAGAAAAAATGGAGGAAACAAGGAACAAACAAATCAGAAAGAGAAAAACATATGCATTTACATTTAAGATGCGTTTATCCAAAGCGACTGACATCGCATTCAAGATATACATTTTAATATTTCATGCATTCATGAAAATCAAAAGAAAAAATTTGCTGAAAATGTTCTCACCACCTCTGGTCATACGAGATGTAGATGAGTTTGTTTCTTCATCAGATTTGGAGAAATGTAGCATTGCATCAGTGTCTCAGCAATGGATGCTCTGCAGTGAATGGGTGCCGTCAGAATGAGTCCAAACAGCTGATAAAAACATCACAATAATCCACAAGTAATCCGCACCACTCCAGTCCATCAGTTAACATCTGGAGAAGACAAAAGCTGAAACAAATCTAGCATTAAGACGTTTTAACTTTAAACCGTTGCTTCCGGCTAAAATACGAGTCTATAATCCATAATAACGCTTCCTCCAGTGAAAACGTCCATCTTCTGTTGTCTCATATCAAAATCCACACACATATTTGTTTAGAGCTGTTTTGGCTTGTAAAAGGTGCTTGATCTGTGCAGATTTCTCTTCTGATTCAGACAAGAACACTTTTTCACTGGAGGAAGCTTGATTACGGATACAGGACTTGTTGCCGGAATCAATACATTGTTAAAAACACCTTAATGATGGATTTGTTTGTTTTTTACAAACACTCAGCTTTTGTCTTCTCCAGATGTTAACTGATGGACTGGAGTGCTGTGGATTATTGTGATGTTTTTATCAGCTGTTTGGACTCTCATTCTGACGGCACCCATTCACTGCAGAGCATCCACTGCTGAGCAAGTCATGTAACGTTACATTTACTCATCTACATCTTGGATGAACCATTCCTTTAAGATGTAAGACCATGAACATTATATTACAATATAAATACAGTATAATTAATCAAATGCTCTCATCACTAAACAAAAAGTACCATGCTAGACTTTAGAGCACCTTGGAGTACCATGTATTACTTCTTTGTGAGGATTATTTACCTGAGCGAAATACAGACGCATCTCCTTTCCATTGAAGTCGCTCTTATGGAGTTTGACTCGGGCCTCGGCTGCCGCCAACGCATCGGTGAAGTTGATCCGAACCCGTCTGAAGCTTTTGAAGAACTGGAACGACGTGCTGGGATCAAACGCACGGAACAAAGCTTCAAACTGCTCCTGATGACGCAAAATAAGGAAAAAACATGTCAAATAACTGGACTGAGATGAAACTAGACAATCACAATATAGAAAAATACAGAACAGTGCAATTTCATCCAAGAAAAACATTTTACAAGAGAGTTGCGAACATCATAGAAGGGAAAAAAACAACCTACGGGTCTAAATCATGAAACGGAGTAAAATGAAAATCATTTGTAAAACCATTCTTGCATAGATTGAACTAAATGTGTCTATTTACAAAAGAATGGTTTTACAAACAAACAAAGTAAAAAAAATCCTGCAGAAAAAAAAAAACAGCAAACCACCTTAGGCTGGTTTAAGCTGGTTTTCTTCAGCAGGGCTCTGCTGTAGCATGCAATAAATTCAATATTTATTAAGACAGCAACATTTCTATCATCTCTCTAAATATTGGCTCCAGCAGTTTGTGAGTTTTTCTTTTTCCTTCGTATTTTTTCATGCATGCAACACACTTGCCTGCAATTATTTAATGTAAGGAGTGTTAATTTATTGGTTTTAATAAACAATTTAGACAGAAATTCATTCTGCTTAAGTTTAATTAATGAGATCCAACATACACTACTGTTCAAGAGTCTGGTGTCTGTAATATGTTTTATTGTTTTTGAAATAATTCTCTTCTGCTTACCAAGTCTGCATTAATTTGATCAAAAATACAGCAAAATTGTGAAACATTACTACAATTTAAAAAAAGTTTTTTCTATGTAAATATGTTAAAATATAATGTATTGCTGTGCTCAAAGCAGTATTTTCAGCTTCATTACTCCAGTCTTCAGTGTCACATGATCTTCAGAAATCATTCTAATATGCTGATTTGCTGCTCAAGAAACATTTCTGATTATTATCAATGTTGAAAACAGTTGTGCTGCTTCATATTTTTGTGGAAACCGTGATGCAATTTATTTTTTGGGATACTTTGATGAATAGAAAGTTCGAACCATCTTTTTGAAATAGAAATCTTTGTAACATTATAAATGCCTTTACTGTCCCCTTTGATCAGTTTAATGCATCCTTGCTGAAAGTTCCTATACAGCTCCTTCCAAAAATATATCCTACTAACCCTAAACTCAAAAATAGAAATCAACTGAATACAACGTGTAAACATGTTTCAAGCTTCAAGCCTCCAATCCTTTTGCTCCAGGGCTGGAGAAGTAAGAACTCAAGATCAGCAGACCAACATGAGCAGATTAGGTTATGCATTAGAGTCCTAAGTAATGAAAGAAGCCAAACCTTTAAACTTATGGAAGACCAAATGTAAAAACAAAAAAACGATGCAATGATTAGTTGAATTTAAATTAGCACCAGAACCTGAAAGAGAAATGCATCCAAATGTCAATAAACCTTGACTTGATCATCTCACTAACAATCAGTCTTACCCGAATCTGTGGCCGACTGAATATCTCATGGTCCGCCGGTGTAGCAACTTTGTAGCTTTTACACAAAAGCACTGCAAAAATGCTGGCAATTGTTTAACCTTCTTAAGTAGGTTTACCATACATGGTGAAAAACTGTTAATGGTTTAACATTGCATTATTTGTAATTTTACTGTAAAATATTGTCAAATGTATGTCTTTTGCAAGTGAATTACTATATAATTTACAGTAAAAGAACATTCCCAAATATGGTAAAAACTTAAACCTTACATATACAGTGGAGAAAATATAAATGGTTTAACATTGCATATGTAATTTTACTGTAAAAAAACTGTGAAAATGTTTTTTTTATTTTTTTTGCCAGTGGATTACCATATAACTTAGTGAAAAAAAGTACATTCTCAAAAAATAGTACAACTTTTTAACATTCCCAAAATATGGTAAAAACTTGTTAACTGGTTAACTTTAAGTAACCTTACATATGCAGTGGAGAAAATATAAATGGTTTAACATTGCATATGTAATTTTACTGTAAAAAAATGTGAAAATGTTTTTGTTTTTTTTGCCAGTGGATTACCATATAACTTAGTGAAAAAAAGTACATTCTCAAAAAAATAGTACAACTTTTAACATTGTATTATATGTAATTTTACTGTAAATAATGCACATTTGTGGGTGAAAAACAGTGAAAGGACATTTGCAGAAAATGGTAAAAAGATGGTTGTTAAAGATAATGGTAAAAAGATGGATGTTAACTTGTTAATTGTATTAACTAAGTAACTTTATCATATATGGCTAAAATCTGTAAATAGTTTAAGATTGTATTATATGTCATTTTACTGTAAAATAATGCAATTGGTTTTGCTATTTAATTTACAGTGAAAAACCGTAAAAAGGACATTCCCAGAAAATAGTAAAAACCAAAAAATTATTTAAACCAAAAGTTTAAATAACCAGTTAGTAAACTGTAAGTAAACCTTACCATATACGGTTTACCACTACATGCAATTATACTGTAAAATACTGTCAAATTTATGTTTTGAGTGACAAAAAGCAAAAAAAACATTCTCAGAAATTGGTAAACAATGGTTAATAACTTGTTAATTAGTTTATGGTTGAAATAGAATAGTTTAAAATAGAAATTTATGGTTTGCGTAAGTGAATTACCATATAATTTACAGTAAAAGGACATTCCCAAAAATCCCTGCATGAAATATCACATATTTTATTTTTACATTATTTAAATGCTTCCGTTTCTTTTTCTTCAGTAATGTACATTAGGGTGTTTTGTGTTACATTTTCTGTTATTTAGTTGCTGTATATTGCATTATTTTAGTGTCATGCGTGTTATCCTGAATCACTTTTATTCTGGTTATCAGTGCATTTTGGTTAAAACTGATTTTTGGTAGTTTAAGTAAACTGGATATATTAATATTACTAACAGTGCACACTTTTTCACCAATTAAAATCATTTGATTCATACTCATTCATTTGTTAATGATTAATTCTGTGAACTTGTTCATTAAACTGAACTGACTCAAAACGATTTGCTCACAAATCAGTCATTGCTACAGCTTGTGAACAACTTTTGTTTTGTGCAATATTCTAGTACAATTTTAAAAACTCCCTGCCATGTCTCCGTTTTCTATGACCGTGGGAACCATTTAGACCAAATGGCAACAGAAAACAAGCTGACTGCTGTGAACTCACTCTTGTTTGTGTGTGTGAATGTGTTGATGGTAAAGACTGCATGGTTAGACAGTAACCCGTGAGTCTTGTCTAAATATTACACCGACCAGCGGTTTGTGTGCTCGCTGTGGAAAGACGGCGCATCTCTGACTCAATGGAAAAATGGAAATATGAAACCGAAATAAGGTGATGGAAAAAATGCAAAGGGAAGCAGACAGTAGATGGGTGTTATGCAAAGAGCAGTGGAGGTGAGACAGCGGATAGTTGTGCTGATATGTGAGCGGTGGTACACATAAGCCCTCAAATGATATTTATATCCAGCTGCACAGAAGAACATGATGATGGAACATATGATCCATTTACATAATATCTACAGTAGATCTATTAAAGTTTAATGACATTTGAGCTACTTCAAATGGCAGGGATTTAAATGACATAATATTAAAGCAGTGGCAAATTGGTGCAAATTCTTTACATCATATTCTGTTTCTGTTTATAATACCTGTGCAATAATAATTATCATATGCATTTATTTGTCTTTAATGAACACTACCTAATTTTTGTATTTATTATAACATTGTCATATTATTTAAACTGCACAGCAACCATCAGGAAACCTGAGTAACTGCATAGCAACACCCTAGCAACCACACAGCAACATTCTAGCAACCAATCAAAACACTCTAGCAACTGTATAGCAACACCCTAGCAACAACTCAGAACAACTTAGCAACAGAAACCCTCCAGAGCATGCTAGAAACCACATAGACAACTCCTAGCAACCACCCAGAACACCTGAGTAACTGCATAGCAATTCCCTAGCAACCACACAGAATACCACAGCAACACTTTAGCAACCGTTCAAAACACTGTAGCAATCATATAGCAACTTCCCAGAAACCACTCAGAACAACTTAGCAACAGCATAGCAACAATTCAGAGCAACATAGCAACTGCCTAGCAACCACCCAGAACACCCAAGCAACCACATAGCAACTCACACCAGCAACTGTATAGCAACACTCTAGCAATCCGTCAGAACACCTTACCAACCGCATAGCAACCATCCAGAGCGATCTAGCAACTGCCTAGTAACAACCACCCAGATCACTCTAGCAAGCATGCAGCAACACCCTAGCAACCTCCTTGCAACTCCAGAACACCCTAGCAACCACCCAGAATACCCTAGCAACTGTATAGCAACACTCTAGCAGCCTCCTAGCAACCACTTAGAACACCTTTGAAACCATCTAGAGCAACTGCCTAGTAGAAATCACCCAACACACCCTAGTAACCACATAACGTATCCTAGCAACCACATAGAATACCCTAGCAACCATCCAGAACATCTAAGCAACCCCAAAGCAACCACCCAGAGCGATCTAGCAACTGCCTAGTAACAACTACCCAGATCACCCTAGCAAGCATGCAGCAACACCCTAGCAACTCCAGAACACCTTAGCAACCGCATAGCAACACCCTAGCAACCACCCAGAATATCCAAGCAACTACATCGCAACACCCCGCCTCTATCTGTCTTGACAAACGTTTTATCTAATTGCTTAATTTACACTGTAAAGGTGGCACAGAAGCACTTCTGAAGTGGCATTTAGGCGGCTTTATACAGACTGTTTATTACTGCTCAGAGCTGGCATTAATGCATTTATTTATATTGTAAAAAAAAACTCTAGGCTACTTTGCTACTAGGGGCTGAAGTGCCTCAGAGCAGGCATCATTTAGTCTGGCTTTGCATTTTGCACTGAATTCTGAGCAGACACCGAGCAGCCTAAGCCTGGCTGCGTAAGTCATTCATATTGTATACCCTCCATTATCCTGTATTTACTGTACTAAAGGGGTAAATACATTCTGTGTACTGTAGGTACACGCTGTCCACTTCTAATGCATCAGCTTCAGAAGTAT